TGTGGGTCCTGGTGCGAATAAATGACTACGGTAAGCAAAAATTTATCCATCCATAAGCATGGGATAGGATAGGATAGGATAGGATAGAAAAAACCCTAATAACAGCAAAAATAGTCCATTTTTCTTAGCCCCCTGGGAGAAAATTAAATAAGGGATCGAAGCAGGAAATACAGAAAAAGAATGGGAGAAAACATCGCCTCATCACTCGGCGATCAGCTGATTGTATGTGAGTCCTGACGCGAATACTTGCCATCTGTACCGCCCCGAACTCGTCTGACGTGACATCGATTGAGGGGCGGGAAAGCCCCGCGAGTCAGCAACAGGCAGTTATCGTGAACTGTGCCTTTGATTCTGACTAAGGGAAGAAAATGTTTGTAATCTCACAGCATAAGTGGCACATAATACACAAGCACACTTCACAGCAGCGATGGCTTTTATTTTGCTTCTTTCTTTTTTTTCTTAAAAGCTAAGGCGGTTTCAGGGATTTTATAATTTACCGTGGCCTCAAAAACTGTGTTCATCATCAATCGTGCTTTTAAGCAGGCCCACATTAAGTTGTCAATTCTGGATCTTGTCCTCTTCCTCACAGACACACTACAAGATCGTTATCGTGCTGATGTGCTCGACCGGATAATTTGCAGGTCAAAAAATTGATCCACCAAAACATGAAGAATCATTTTAAAATCGTAAATTTGAGAACGTCAAAGGAACGGTGTAACTAGGACGATACACATACCTGTTCTTGCTCCTTTCCTGCGTCAAGTTCCTTATCAAAGCAACGCAAAAATTCGTCTCGAGCCTGTAACATTTTAATCATGAATAAAATATCACTGTGAATGATTAATCAGATTGTACATTAATCGGTTAATATATTGAAAGAATGAGAAACCAAATATGAGGGATTCTGGAGTTTTCAAATTATTATCTTGCTTGCAATTAGACAGACGAATTGAAGGCCGAGTGAAATATAAAAAATAAAATAATCAAATATAAAATAACTAAATAAAAATAGTTTTCCAATCAAGATGAATCTGGGTCTCCAAGTACGATAGATGGGTGTGTGTCAAATCGGAAAATGGCCTCGAAAAGGTCCAATAGTGACTCGAAGACCAGCTTTATCTACAAACCAGGACGGACGAGTTTTCACAGCGTCTTTGAGGTCGCACTACTCACAGTAGAGCACATGATTTGGATATTCAAAAACTTGTGACCCAGTGACGACAGTGAAGACAGTTTGGGTAGCTCCGGCTCGCTATAAGCAACTCATTATGGAATCGCAACGGCTGAGATGGCGTCCTAATTGAAAAATTTCCTATTTCCATCAAATTTAGAAATCACTAGATTTATAATCTGCTTTTTTTCAGTTTAGGATGGAAAATCTGCTCATACAAGCTAGTAAAAGACACCATTGTAACAGTTTAAGGAAATCAGAGAACACTTGAATATGCTTTATGAATTACGAACGCTTCAAAGCAAGAACTCAATGACAGCTCGACTGTTCACTATTCTTGCTCCTATTGACACTGTCGTTTTCACACATCCCTTGTTTCCATCTTGGGAATGTTCCCCATACAGATACGCACACAGACATTTCAACAATCCTTTCCTATTACTATTCCTACTTTCTCAGAAGTATCGTTACCTGATGACAGCGTTGTCTATCTTTTTTCAGTGCAGTCCCCTTAGACGCTTCGGACATCACCGTCCAAAGCTATTAACCTGAAGAAATGGAAACACTGCATACAAAACGCTACAGAAATAGAACGTAGTAAGTATTATGGCAAATAGATGCAATATTGTTGAAAGGGTTTCACCCATTACATAAATATTTATTAAAGCATACAATTTATGAAACTAGAGATCAAATTGGACCCAAATATCTCTGCACGACTTAAACTCTGCATAATCAAAGGAATCATGAACGATAATTTAAACATTTCCGCAAAGTGAAAACCATGTATTTGTTTGTTATTGATATTTTTCTTATTTTCCCCTAGTCAGATGATTTACTTTCTTCTTNTTCTTCTTGTTCTTCTTGTTCTTGTTCTTGTTCTTCTTCGTCTTCCTCATCAAGCATAATTGACTCTTCAGTACACCGACAAACCACCTTCAATAAAAAGGCACTGGGTACTCGTTTGTAAAGACCAGAAAAAGAAAACCAGTGCCATACCATGAAAGATAGGACGAACAGGACTATTCCAATCGCAATCATAACATAGTCAAATGACTGATCTTGGATGAGGAATAACTGCAAGTCTGCTATGTTGTACGTTGCCTCAGTCCAGGTAGAGTATGTGGAATTCAAATAGTCATAACCTTTAAAAAGGCAGTAGGTGTGTTTTTATTACGATGTATGCTTTACTCCTTCAACGGAAAACCACTGACAAAACAAAAATGGTACCTTCTATAAGAAAGGCTGGAGATAATGCAACGTAAAAGTGAACAGGAGTACGGTAGCAATGAGAGATATTGGTTTCTATGTCGGTAAGCAAATTGTATGTGTAGACCTAGAAGTATAAGCAAGCACTCAGTCTACAGAATCATAGAGCATAGATCTTGAATAAATATTCAAATTGAGGCATATTTACTGATTTCTCTCTAACACTGCTGGGCCTATCAAAGAGATTCAATTTCTCAGTATAGACAAGAAGAAGAATAACTTCTCGCAACTGACTTTCCAGTGGTAGTTGCCCATGTTGCGTTATCATGACTTCTACACAAACACTCGGAAGTGAAGGAATCCACCGAAGCGATTCCGGAACTCACATTTTGACCCCTACCAGACTGTCTACATGCCCTCACTCCTTTCTTCTCGCTATGATTGTGTGCTATTGTTCCAGTAAGGTACATAGTCAATGTCTGGACATGAAATCGAAGACGCTCCTTCTCCCCCACTTTCACGTAGGTGGATTTTCCATTGTAGGCTGTAATCGTAAGATAATCATGGTGAAAATGACTCAAAAAAAAGACATCAGAAGGCATAAAGGTCTCCTGGTGATGGAAAAGAGTTTAGAATCTATTGTGATATTAACAGATGAACCTTTAAGCCTACAGAAAAGTATGAAATGGGATTGATACTCAAACTTCAACGCGTCTTAATATAGTAAGGTAAAAGATATTTCGTCCCATGAACAGTGTGTTTTCAATTGTTTTTTCTTTTTGAAATAGATATCAGTACCGCTTTTCCTGTCTTAAATGTAGTCTTCATTATTATCCATTATGCTTTTCCAACAATCTGTTAGATTCGTTATATCCTATTCCCAAAATTCAGTTTCAAATAAAAAAGCTACTGCGAAGTGCTGTTAGCGCTTGCTGTGGATCGTTTTTTTGGAAGTTATTCTTTATAATAATTTAGCGAACAAGCTACAAGTGAGCATCAAACACCAGAAGACAGCCTATATGCCTACTTTAGGCCAAGAATGACAAAAAACATGAGCAAGAACAAACCGTCTTGGTCACCATGATTTCTTCCAGTGATTCGATTGAGATAATCGCAAGAAAACCAATCAGGAGAATCAATGAAGCAGTTGATAAGCGTAGACACCTAGAAATGACACGATTATGAGGATGGGGCTCTTCAGTGATGCTCCCCTCTGCTCTCTATTCTTCAATGAGAATAATGTATAACCGCAAAAATGCTCAGAAACAACAGTAAAAACTGAAGTTGAAGCCTCAACAAGAGGTAGAGAGTACGATGGGTCAGGCGAGAAAAACATACGAAGTGTCCTCAAGCAATAAAAGAAAGTTATAGAGAAGGTCCTTGATCACACTACGGTATAATGCGGCCAACAGGATATCACCTTCGTTGAGAACCTCCGAGCTCTTCTTTGGAAATTAACTGGCATAAAGCAATTTGGCCTTGATCCATCCCGTCTGAGGTATCTGTCCCGCATTCGAATTTCATTTAGAATTGTAGTGGTGTATTGAATGCGTATGTGGCCTATACAATGACTTGCTGTGGCACCGATGTCAAGTCAGAGCTTTTATACTCTCTGGCGAGTCTTGTACCGATTAATCGACCTCAGAGAGATGGAAAGCTTGGTTGGCCCAGGCGGATATCGATCCGGGATTCGAACCTCTGACCATGCATGTGAAATAGTGCGCCACTGGCCACTAGACCACCTCCGCCCTTCATTAATGGGCACGGAAGGTAAAATTAGTAAAAAGAATGCAGCGAAAAACAGAGATAGGGAAAGTGGTCGAACATATAGGAGGATTCCTGGGAACAAGTGGACTTAATAAAAGAACTCGTGCAAAGATTGTTCAGCTTATATTGAGATTATGTGTGCGACCAGGAAAGATCACAGAAAACGTTTTGGTATGAGTTAGTCGAAAATTGTGCAACTCACGAAATCCCCATCGATTTGTAGTTTCGATTTGGCATCGGCATCCAAAACTACATGATCAGCTGCTGCGCGTAACAGAGCGCTAGCTGCCATAACTATTTCAGAAACCGCTGCTGACCGCTGTGTGGAATTCCACTGTGCTCTATCGAGCATCGAGTTGAAACGCCTAAAACAGAAGTTTCTCGCAGAAATTTTTATCCTTTCACCTTTTCGAATGAATACCAGTAACTTACAGGTACTTGTATTCGATATGGAATGGAGCCAAGACTAAACCCGGAATAGAAGAGTTGATTTTCGCAAACGAGTTCCAGCTTGATGGAGGCATTTCAGAATATTTGGTAGGAGATACAAATATTCCACCTGCTGCTGTTACCCCAGCCTGCATCGAGGTCAATAGTCCGAGTACCTGAGATGACCAATTCAAGTCAGGAACAAGAAAAAGTGCAACATAAGAATCAATAAGGATCATTCTAGTCAGTGCCTTCTTATTAGAAAGCTTCATAACCATCTCACACGCACGGTGACTGGTTCGAATTCTATCTCGATAGGGCCAACCAAGGCTTCTATCCCATCGGGTTCGGTTAAGTTATCAGACTTTCCTGGGAGGATAAAAGCACTGGCTTCTACATGGGTTAACCACTGCACTCTTTGAGTAGGCCACAGACGGGGCGACCCCTGCGCACGAAGGGTCCTAAGCTCAATAAGTCGAAAATGTTGTGAACACTTCGTTTCTCATCACTAACATCTCTCTTTCCTCCTTTTCTCTCTTCATCTTCAATTCCACTGATTTACCCAGCACAATCTGCACAGAAAATCGTGACCAGGTCAAACTACGAAGCCACTCTACTTAAACCATCAAAAGGCTCTCGAAAAGAGTACGGTCTAATAGGCCAATTTACAAACCAAATTACCTGCCCATTAACAACTTGACTGCCATCACTGTGAGCGTACAGTCGTTGACCATCACCGCTTCCCAGTTGTTGCACTTCAATTATGCCATCTAGTTGCGAGAGAAAAATTGTTTCGAGGCGTTCATTCAAGTTATTCCTAACGACTCGTGGAAAAACGCCATTCCTGAAGAAACAAGTGAGAGCTTAACCTTAGGTCTTTTAAAAACGTTGAAAACATTCGAAAAAAAAAACTAGAAATGATGAGAAGTTTGACCTAAAAGAGCTTACATCATATCGTATGCCACTTTGCTACTGCCGATGTAGTCAAAAGCCTCCTGTAAACACTGTGAAGAAACTTTTAATACAGATCAAGGTATGAAACTCACTCCGTCAAAAAAAGCGATGAGCAGATGCCTATTCGAAGCTAGTGCAGCCTCTTCGAAAAGGGCAAAATTCTCGCCTATGATTTGAATAACTGCAAGAAGAGCTATTACAGACGTGACCACGCTGATTTCTCCAGGTGATATTTCAGGAATCAGTCCGAATCCATCCATCTGTAATTTCTGCAATTAACACACAAATGCCTCTGAACATCTCAAACACATTCTCTTCAAAAAGCTCACGGAACTCACACGAGCTGTCAACATCAGATATCTGGTAGCAGGCTGTAAATCAGTCGTGTCATTGTGAACTTTCGGAGGAATATGGGCTATGATATTGATACCTTTCAGAGGTCCACATTGTGTGCTGTAACGAACTGACTTCTTCTCCTAATAGATAATAGTTTAAGATAAAGCCTATGAAAATCAAAGCGCAGGACATTAGACCTGTGACGTGCTCGGGCAGAGGCTGAGTTTCTACCGCGATCAGCTCTTCGTTACTGAAAGGAAAATTTGTAAAAGGAGTCCTTTTCATGATAACGAAGGGCGGATAACGGTAGAGGCTAACCCCTCAAACCATAAATCGCACAATTCTCTATGCATTATCATGGATAAAGTTTAAAGGATAAAGTTTATGGCGTTAATCAATCCCGTCTGAGGGATGCGCCCCCGCACTCGACTTCTATTCAGAGGTGGCGTAATGAGTGCGTATGTGGTCTATACAATGACTAGTGGTGGCCAGCCGATGTACAAGTCAGTGCTTTCTATCCTCCCAGACGAGTCTGGTACCAATTCACCGACCCCGGAGGGATGAAAGGCTTGGTTGGCTGGCATCGATCCGGGATTCGAACCCCTGACCGTGTATGTGATTTAGTGCGCCACTTGCCACCACACCACCTCCGCCCATTATAAAGAAGATTACGAAAAACCATTCCTAATCCAAGAAATTCCAGCGGAATACAGTATGAGTGGAAAAGGAAAGATCTTCTATTCAATTTACCGGAAACCCTCTTATCCACCTCCTTTGTTTCAGAGCAAATCATTTTAGAAAAGTAAGTAAAGGTGATACAACACGAGGTAAAACTAGAGACTACTCTCTGTGGGCCAATGTTTGCAGGCAACCTTTGCTTTCCGATATGTTCACATTACTTTTTAACAACTGACTTGCGTTACGGTGGAGGTGTTGGAATTTAAAATGGCGCACTTTCATATTTATATCGTTACGGGATCGATCCGCTAAGGCCAACCAAGCTTTCCATACCACCGATATCGGTTGATTGGTACCAGGCTCGTCTGAGAGTACAAAAATACTGGCTTGTACATCGGCTAGCCACTACAAGCCACATACTACCACACACAGCTACAAGTCATCGTAGTGACGTATTGGTTGCGTAAAAGGCCGTTACTGTGGCTTGTGAAGGCTAGCCGATGTACAAGCCACAGTATCGGCCTTTTACGCAACCAATACCTCACTACGACTCCGAATAGAAGTCGAATGCGGAGCCCATTTTTCAGATGGGATCAAATAAAAATAATCAACACCCAACATTTTACCCTTTATCCTTTTCTGTTGCCAGTGAACCTGATTCAACATCATAGAAAGCGCTCCTTCTTCTCGGAAAAGCGGACAAAAGTTTAGCGAAGATGCGGAATCCCCCTTTAATTGTTGTTTTGTGCTATGCTCCGCCTATGCTGCTTGCTCCCATCAAAATTTTAGCGCAACTATTATCTCTGACACAGATAGAGCGTAAAAGGATCAACGAGAGGGTCAGTAAATAGCAATCACTTGCGACACAAGTAGTTGGAGTCGTAAAATCCGGGCTCCATCACGAAGCTATCTTAATGCAATCAGAACAGGCACAAACTTGGGTGAATGGCACGGGTGAATACGTATGAGTTGGTTCTCGTTTACAAATTTTAAGAATACTGATTAGAGAATCGCTTGCATCAACACTCCGAGCGGCTGGTTTGCATAGACTAGATCACAACTTCTAGTTGGCTCTAGATTCTTCCGATCAGCGTTTTATTTTCTCACACAAGCCTGATACTAGAAAGCGATATTGGTAGAAGTTGATCAGTTCATGCAGTGACTGTGAAATTGGCTCCTATTTCGAAGGCGATTCCTTCCCAATCAGTTTGAACTCAATTTTGTTTCCCAGACTTTACCATAAAACGGTGATCGTGAGGAATGACAAATTCAAAACCCACCTTAAGCCGCTCGTGAAGAAGCTTAAGTACTCAGGCCAAAGGTTGTTCCTTCGCATGCAAATCTCGCTAGATCCAGCTCCTCTACTGAATATTCCGAATGAAGCAGCACAGAACGGAAAAGTCACTGACGACGAATCATTGTACGGCACATTGAACAACTCGTAGCACTGAAGTAGAAACCTATGTTCTTCGATTTACACAGTGAAATTCACAGCCCTTAGGAATGGAAATGCAAACTAATCGCGCTGGAAATATGTCAAGTAGGTCACGTTGAATTACTAAGGTTAAGATAAACCCAATTCGTTTTTTAACGGTTGAATAAAAAGGTACATCAATTTTTTCATATTTTCTATTCAACATAGAATAAAACTCAATCAAATCCATCGTATGTTAGTTGCCAGAGCCGGGGGAACAGCATCAAAGCATCAAGCTGGGGGAACAGGTACAAAGGTCTGCTACAGGGTGAAGAGTGAACAGAGAACAGTTTCCGAACTGAATATGTTACAGTGAATACTGACCTTCCTAATTGTTTCGATATACGTCTGGTTATGAATGTAGAGGAACTGCATATTCCAGTCGATATTTCGTAGGCCTTCCGGTAAGATAGCTCCTTCTCTGTTCCACACATTAAATGTACATCCCTTAGAGAAGCCTAAACGATTGACTGACATTACAAAAAACACAGGACGGAGGTGGTGTAAAGGCAAGGGCGCACTATTTCACACGCATGGTCAGGGGTTCGAATTGCGGCTCGATATCCGCCTAGGCCAACCAGGCCTTCCATCGCTCCGGGCCGATTAACTAGTACCAGACACGTCTGGAGGATAAAAGCGCGAACTTGTAAATAGATTCCGTATTGAAGGCTTATGAGAGAGACGTTTGGCGTTCAGTGAAATGACTTCTGGATCTCGAGCTATGTTTACCCTTCTACAGACCGAAACATTATGATAAGCAGACTGTTCCACCAGAAGAACTACTGATAGGGAAAGTGGCCACGCATAATAGTCACTAAAATTAGCAATAACAATACAACTAGTAAAATCGGCTTGAATGTCAGACGCCCTCATGAAATTCCAAAGCCTTATATTATTCAGTGAATGAACCATAACGGCCCTTTGGGAAAAATAACACTCACAATAATTGCTACAATTAGTCTTCCAGTATGGGTTCCAGTCATACTTACTGGGAAAAGGAGAGACAGTGAAAGAAACAGCGGATCCTGCGACTGCGCGGCATACAATTTAGGAAGAAGGAGAGAGACGTGAAAGCTTTGCTGGGGCATTTATCATTTCGCCCGGCTTAATCAGTGCTATTGTTGTTGTCTTTNAAAAAAAAAAAACTACGAAAACTAGAGAAATAAATATTCGCTCACCACTCTCAGAGTTTGGACACTCTGAGTCGTGTGAAAGAGGTTTGCTGCCATCTATGTTGGTCACATCGTATGTTATAATACCGGCTAGGCATTTCGACGCCAAGAGTTTTCCAACAGTTGAACTGAAACACCGACCTTGAGGATCTCATAATGAAAAGTAGTGACAGAATGAATCGAAGCTCCCAATAAATACATCATGATCGACTGCGCACTCTGTTAATGAAACAGTGGAGAGAAAACCATTCAAAGTCAGTTCCTGAAATCGGTTTTTCCCATGCAAAAGAGGTATTCGCAGTGCTGCAGAGCAGACTACTATGAGGTCATAAGTCTACTCGAATATCAATCAAGTATAAGTGGATTCGGTAGTACTTTCACTTGGGGATAAATATCGGGAAAACACCCGATGTTCATCACCCCGGGGGATGGGCTACGAATTTCAGTGATATTATAGAGGCGCATGAAATAACCTGAAAGATCAGCTATCATATGAACCAGTATCACTAGAGGGACGAAAGGTTCAATTGGTCCAAGGAGATAGATCTCACGAATGCGTATACACTAAAGGCCAGCTCTATTGCTCGATAAGAAGAATAAAGGATAAAGTTCGAGGCCTTAATCAATCCCGCTCTAGGAGATGCGCCCGCTCATTGGACTTCCATTCAGAATCGCAGTTGCGTGTTCAATGCGTGCGTGGCCTACACAATGACTTGCGGTGGCCAGTCGAAGTACAAGTCAGTACTTTTATCCTCCCAGACGAGCCTGGTACTAAATTAGCCCCGGAGGGATGGAAGGCTCGGCTAGCCTAGGCAGATATTGATCCGAGATTCGAACCCGTAACCAGGCGTGTGTGAAGAGCGCCACTTGCCACTACTTCACCCCCGCTCTGCTCGATAGTGCAGTTATTGCTGTTTGTCAGCAAAATCACGAAAAAAGTAAATACAGAGGGAACGCTATTGTTTTCGAAACAATAGTGATTTTGTGCTTCACGCCATTGCACTCACCGATCTATCATATCTATGGGCAAAAACATATGATACTTTCCCGTATATCCTCTGAATCGACTCCGCCAGCATTCTTGCAATCCTGACATGTCTCCATCCTCCACTATGACCACTACACCACGTGAGTTGTCAACTGTGCCTAGAAATTATTAAAATTTGGTCATGATTAAAAGGCAACTAATTTCTAACTATTTTAACAGCTGAATCCATGATGCGGTAACCATACCTATAGTTCATCATTAAGCCTAAACAAACTTGATAGAACGTACTGTGGAATCCGAACTGATGGGTACCATTAAATAATCGATAGCCTGCCTCTCCATCCACTACACTGAGAGTAATATAAAAATCGGATGCGATACTATCCCCATGAACTGGTAGGAACACTGTAACATACATGAAAACGTTGATCTATAACTCTAATATTTACTTATTTTATTTAATAAGTAATATAATCTTCCGTTCCACTTGTTTACTACCACGACATTGGAGTCAAGTTTACAGTTTTGTTATTGGGCAGCGACACGATTTTAAGTTCATTTATTTCTCTTATTTATAAAGCAGTAACTCGGTGTGAGCAGAAATCTCACGTGTTTGTCGGTCTGTCGGTTTGGCTGTCTGTCCGTCCGTAAAACTTCATGATTACGATAAGGGTAGTGATATGGAAAACCCAGCTCTATTCTACATCAGACGGGTCGCCCGCCTTACGCCCGGGCCCTCCTCCCTACAAAGAGTATTTATGTAGAAAACGAAGAAGTTACGGTGGGTGAGGGTGGGGGCTCCGCTTTTATTGAACAATGAGGACTTCAGTGCTAAGAAGGATGGGTAGCTTATCTCAAGTAAGGGTGGGGTATGAGTTGAATATCCATTGACTCACCCACCCCGGCCGGTGCTCCTTCTCTCCTGAAGCTCAGGTCAAAAAACTGTATGATCTCTGCTAAGAAACGTTCCTGAGCACAACTATGGGTTGGCTTCCTTATCTCTAACGCTCAAAGTTGAAAAAAAAAGCGTAAGTCTCTCAACTACATGATTATTTCCGATTTCTGTGTAGACATACATAGCACAGATCGGAATCACAGCTGTGAAGTACCTATTTCACTCCACACTGCTCTTTTCACTCCCCATACTCACTCTACTCCATTAACCTACCCATCAAGTCGCTGCTTTCAAGAAGGAAATGTAGGATAGAGCTGGGTTTTCCATATCACTACCTTCATCGTAATCATAAAGTTTTGCGGGCGGACAGACCGGCAAACCAACAAACACCCAAACTGGCACACCAAAACACTGCTTTCTAAATAAGAGTTATAATAAAGCAGTAACTTTTAGGTGGGCTATGTATGTATATACAACAAGGTGAGACAATTGAATATGAAACTCGTATCCTATCCTAGCTATTTGCACGGGATAACCACCTTTACCCAAGCGCTCCTCTTCTCCTTAGGCTTAGGCTCAAACTATTTTCTTCCGCCTGGAACCACTCGTAGCAGGTGAGGACGGATATCATTCTTCTCTGCACTCAAACCCTCAGCGCTGAATAAAAGCGATGCCCCCCAACGCAACGCAGCGTGAATCTGAATCCTTAGCCCTATTCCTTCCTGCTACAGGAATTCAAACAAAAGTTCTCTTTCACCGATTTTGTTGTTCCAATATCTGATTTTAGCTACAATCAAATTCCGTCCCTCCATCGTGACCTAACAATCGCTGCTCTTGTTTGTTATATGAAAGTGGTTCAATCTGTTTCGATGCCGCATTGCACGCCGACACACATCCTTGAATGTTAGCAAGATACTCACAGTGGTAGAGTAGTAGAAACAGCAGTACAAAATGCATGGCTGTGAATGACCACCTTTCAACACATCTTTTCATGGAATGAACATTCCTACCGATGTTTGGAGGAGGCATGATGTGTAGTTTCGAACAAAAGTTAATAATGATCCCGTTTCCGAGCGCGATGATTCTGTCATTTAACACTGTGATTCGTGAACGGTGGTAATCCTTCTCCAGTGGTTGCCACTGCTCGCTTTTACGGGCAAGTTGAATACGAACACTTCAAAGGAGGTGACGAACCTTCGATATGGGCCTGTCTTGTCCTATGTTATGATTGATAACGTCGAATGTTGTTCGATTTAATTCTACGGTGCAGGGGTGGACCGGCAAGCAAGCGTGGTGAGCTTGTACAGTACGTATTTGAGGGTAAAAAAGCATCGCAGTGCAACTCCAATAGTCAGAAGACACGCAACGCCTAGAAGATTCGCGTCACAACGTTAGATGTTGCCGAACTCTTTCTCGTGCAAGTTGGTAGATGCACACAAGCGTGGACCAAGATTTTTGGGTTGAGGAGACGAGACCTGCTGTGGATCAAGGGCAGCACGTTCGCGCTTCGAAGCCATCCTTTCAGTTGTCTGAAAAACCTAATGGTGCCGAGTGAATTTTTCCGGATGTTTCCGTGCCTCGATCGAGGTGAATGTTCAATGACTATTTGGTGAATATGCTTCTCTGGGTAAACCCTTCAGGTTGGTGACCATGAACGACTGAGGCTATTACCGTTGCAGCTGACCTTATTTGAAAAGTCGGCACCACGAGAAGCGACGAGCGGCTAACTCGGCGGGTTCAGCTCTTAATCATCTAACAACGCCTAGCGAAGCCTTGACTATGCTGACATGCGACTTCACTGATGCACATTTTTTATAGAATTCTGAAAGCTTCAACGCACCACTTNTAGCAGTAAATAGCAGTAAAAGCAGAACAGAAATAGAGCCTCACTCGACAGACTCAATGATTAAGGGCTGAAAGAGAGTGACAGAGGCGGAGACCTTATTAACAGTACAAAGACGAAGAGTATATGTATATGGCCAGGCAACATGGTTAGCTGATTTGCACGCATAGAATTGCCCACCACGGTTATTTAAGGTTTTTCTTTCTCTAAGAGCTTGAAGACCGTACACAACGTGTGACACAATTCGAGAATTCTAAAATATTCACAAAAAATCCTAGTATTCTGCATGAAGAAACACAACGATGACAGGAAGCAACAAACCTCGTGCTTTAGCAACGCTTCATCACATTGTTATGTACTTCCATAAAAAACCGAAGGCTTCCAAGTTTGCGTCCGCGATCTGCACTATTATAGAGTTAGCATAAAGGTTTACAATTGGTATAATCAAGAAGTGAACATAAATTACACATGTATTAGAACTGATTCGATCTTGAGTGAGTACATTTAATTTATAAGAAATATTTATCATATAGACAATAGAAACAGCCATTGGCAATATGACAAGACTATTCTTCGCATGAGAGATCACCAATTAAACCACAATTAGGAATAATTCAGAACAAGTTCATTAAAGAGAAATTCCATTGGTCGTAATTCAATGTCACAACATAACAATGAGAAAACGAAACGAGGAAAAATCTTATATCCCGTATCTAGACTTCAAAAACATGAAAGTACTAGCACTTGGGTGCTGCAGGAAATCGTTCCCCGAAGCTGTTATCAATAAAGGATCGTTACAACGGTTCCCCTTCTTTTGCCAGCCGTTCGCCTTCGTCAATAATGAACGAGTCATCTGTGCAGCGACCTACTATCTTAAAAGGAAATTGTTGGAAATCAATTTAATGACGAAATCGAAAATATAACATACCAAAAATGAGATTAAGGACAGTAGTATACCCAGAAAGAGCATTATAATTTCGAATGATTCGCGCTCGACTAAATAAAGCTGAAGGTTTTCAATACTATACAGTGATTCGGTCCACGTAGAAAACGTCCGATTGGTAAAGTCATAATCTGAAAGGGATTGGGCCTTTACCGCGAATAACTCGTACTACGTATCTTCAACATATCACCAACCTTTGATTCTGAAGGCGGGTGAATTAACTTGGTACACATCCACAGATGAACGATAACAATAAAAGGCTCCTGTTTGCGGGTCCGCTTGCCACGTATATACATACACCTGAAAGAAAAGTGATTAACTCGAAATTGCAGCCCTAATAAGAGGCCTGATTCGCTTGGGGTTAATTACGTGAGGAAGTTCCATCGTACCTTCACCTTAATTTCACTCGAAAGCATACTGGTTATTATATCACTGTAGCGGACGTTAAAACATATTTTTCCAGCCTCTTTTCTTCTGCAACTTTTGTTCACCAAGAATCTATAGATCATAAGTGATGTTTCATTTGACAACGGGAGGAACTGGACCTCGAACTTGAACAAGCATTGGCAACGAAAATCACCAAATACATATGCACCCAACACGCTTGCAAACGCTTGAAGTTTCTTACTGCGGTAGAGGTCGCTTTCAAGGTATGATACCATTGAACTCACATTTTGATCTCCTCCCAAGTCGTCGCAAGTATTCTTATCCTTCACATTGCTGGTATAAGACGTTGAGCCAGTCGCGTAAATCGCGAGCCATTCCACAAAGAAGCGAACAGGATTGCGATAGCCAGCAGAAACATAAGTGGATTTTCCCGCATAAAACCCTAGAAAGGTAATAAATATCTGTTCCTCGTCTTTGTAATACTGGTTCAGTATCTCATATTTTGCCATTGTTCTGCTGCCCATGGCTCGCTTTGAACGCATAATGAATAAAATACGCTTAAAAATGGGAAAAAATGGAATAGGATGGATAAGAGGTACCAGATGACGGTTTGAGACGACCTCCATTGAGTCGCTTGAAATAATCACACGTAAACCAATCGGGAGAATCGATAAAACATTCGAAAAGTGTGTTTATCTGAAAAAAATCAAAAGAATAAAAGATTATCATGAAAATGTGATCGTGTGTGTAATTGTGATCTATGACTTTGGACGGCATCAAGATTCATCGTGGTACTTCCACCTATAGCTAATGTTTATACCTTTTGTAGACAATCTACAATGATTAAAATAAGTGTTGTGTATAAAGCCGTTTTACTGTGTTTTTCTTAAATTTTTTTAAGCATACCAACATCCACTCCATTTCGTCGTATGCGACAACCATCTCTTTTTTTCAAAATTTTTTCAAAACTTCAGAAAAAAATCTCAACTACTCTTATAACAATATAGCATTTATCGCATGCGAGAATACCTGTAACTAGAATGTACCCCATCTAGATCACTCCCACATTACATGCTAGGCTGCTTTCATACTTCGACGATTCTACCGGCTGCCGGCGCACACGCAGTAGAAGCGTCGAAGTATGAAATCTGCCCTTCATCGTAAAAATTTGGACACCGGTCAAACGTATTTACAAAATGTTTATAATGTCTATCAAGCGAGAAAATATTTCCCGCAACTGAGACATACTCTATCCAAGATTGATGCTCCGCAGTACTATATTGCCAGATTAATTGCAGGTAAAAGCTCCAAAACTTACAAACTCTTTATCAACTTGCAAAGCCAACTTTTGACCAATGTCTAGTCGCACATGATCTCCAGCAGCTCGTACCAAAGCACTAGCCGCTATGGCTACTTGAGAAATCGCGATAGAACGCTGGGTTGAATTCCATTGAGCTCGATCAAGCATCGAGTTAATACGCCTGTAAGTATGTATATAACCGTAAAAGATAATATTTCGTTTACAATCTCGAAAAGTATGTTAAAGCTTCGTTGAATCCTATCACAGGAGTGTCAAGATACGACAAGCCCTTTGGCCAAAAACGGGACTCTCGCCTGACGCAGAAGTTCAAGAAAAAAAAGAGCAAGATCACAGTGAAGAATTGCGAATGCTATACACTACCTTTTGACGGGGTTAATTTAGTTACTACTAGAGAGTTGTCGAGAGGTGTTACAAAGTGATGTTCCGCGTAGCTAGTCTTCGAAATAGATGGTCAACCCATTTCCATGTCAGTATTTATACACCCAACAAAATTACTCCGAAATACGACTCAACGAAGAAAGCCATGGTTGATGGGGTTGTCCTAGATTAGAGGTTCGAAGCCACGCGCGTGAAGCCCACATTACCCGCGGCTCCCCCATCGACACATAGTCCAATCATTATACTTAACCGGATCTAGCGATCTCGCCGCTACTGCTGACCATAGGGCCTTAAGTAGTTTTGCATCCGCTAATAACGTTAGTATAAAGTAATAGAAATAAAAAACGCTATAGAGCAAATCCAAGTCTTACCTATACTCGTATTTCTCTTGAAACGGAGCCAACACTATGCCACGAATGGAAGAAGCGATTCGAAAAAATGGATGCCAGCTGGATGGTGGCATTCGAGAATTCTCAGATGGAGGCAGCACCACGCCCCCTCCAGCGATCGCTCCTGCCGACAGCGCAGCGAGCACTTCTTCGAGCTGATAAAACAAAGTACTCGTGACTGAATGAATTCTAAGAGGGCTTCTAGATCTACCGGATAACGATCACTCAGAAAAGAGCACGGCTCAATTAGATAAAATGGAAAGAATTAGGCAAGATAATCAGGAAAGTAGCAGACGGAAACTTCCCGAATATGATTAGCCTCAAATACAAAATAAAGGCGCTTCATCACCAACCTCTCCACGATGGAATTGTTGCCCGTCAGCATGGGCAAACAGCTTCATACCATCACCAATTCCCAATTGTTGCACTTCTATGATAGCTTCAAGTTGAGAAGCAACAATGGGATCGAGTTGCTCTTTGAATTTATCGGACAGTTTACGTGGAAATTCTCCTTTCCTGAACGGTACGCAATGTTATAAAGACGGTGGGTTTGAGAAACTGACCATAACTTGGGAATTAAGCCCTATTTCGAGCTGTTTGCAACTGGTTTGCTCAATCTCATCATCCCTTTTTTTGGAGTCTATGTGTAGTCCGATAACGTCTTGATTTCTTGTTTTGCCTTCAAACCAAGTATACAGGTCTTTCCTTCACATAATAATAACAGGTCCGTCCACAAAAACTCCCCAACTTCGAAGTTAGCCTAAACTTACTCTTAACTCTTACTCTACTCTTGACTCTCAACTACTCTTATCTACTCTTACTCTACTCGTACTCTTAACTTTTCTGAGTTCAATTGGTCTAAATTTCCGAACGGGTTCATGAAATTTTCAGCATTTCTGAACGATTATAATTACTAGAACACACTGCCCAAAGTCAATTTCTCCAAAATGTAATAACGCAAAAAAATACAAATAAAGAAAAGATAATAGGAGGCTGCAAACAGAGAGATGAGAAATAACGAGACTTAAAAACTCATCGCCAATAGAGGGCGATGCTAAAATCTTGGGTTGCTGCTATATTTCAATGCGCACAGACTCCCTTAAATAGATCGTACAGACTCCCTTAATCTTACATGACAAGTTCAACTTTGAATACTGTACGGACTTACATCAGATCATATGCAGCATCACTACTTCCGATATAATCGAAAGATTCCTGAAAAAAAAAGGTCATACAAGTAAATGAAGCAATTCATGCATTTGCGTACCCCATCAAAGAATGCAGCAATCACATGACGGTTTGAAACGTTGGCCGCCTTCTCAAAAATATCTGAATGCATTCCAATAGTTTTGGCTGCTGCCAGAAGGGCGATAACAGATGTAAGGACGCTGATTTCCCCAGGTGATATCTCAGGAATCAATCCAAAGCTGTCGAGCTGAAAGGAAATCAAAAGGTGCACTGGATTCAACAGGGTCGGTTTTTTCTATCTTTGCTAGTTTTCCGTAGATGAAATGTTTTCTCATTTAAAAGAATAATAAACTCAACATTAACTCATTTCAGCAGTTAACTGTACAAACTAAACTGCGTACTCACCCTGGCAGAAAGCATGAGGTATTTCGCAGTGTGTGCCGGAGTCGACTCCTTGTATATTTTGGGAGGAAGATAGGAGAGGATGTTGACACCAACCAAAGGACTACACAAATCACTATAAAGACTGATTTTACCAGCGGAAAAATGTTTTCACGGAAGGAAACTGCATACATGCATATATTAGAATCGCAACAATGGACCTACTCTCTGTTCTCAATACTCAGGTCTAGCAATCGTGACCACGGTTTGCTTCTTCGATAACAAATTTCAGTTGAACCTGCCGCCGTACTGAATACACCGAAGGATGCAGCACAAAGTGGGAAGGACACCGAAGTAGAGTCATTTTTTGGTACGTTGTATAAATCATAACACTGGAAAAGAAATCGGAACTATTGAAATGAGGAAGGGAGGAACGGTTTAATCGAAAACACCAAAAGAGAACCTTTTTGATAGTCTCGACGTAGGTCTTATTGTAGACATATAAGATCTGCATTTTCCAATCAATATTACGTAGACCATCTGGTAGAACAAAGCCTTTATCGTTCCATGCATAAGCAGCAAGGCACTCATCTCCATACACATCTGAAGTGGAGGCAATAAGCGTTCAGGATTCAACACGTCATGATTTTATTCCGCGACAACAAATTGTTAAATGTTATGCGCCAAGAAACGTCGAGAGGTTACTTCATGCACTTCCTGATAAAATTGCTTTATATCCGCATGGACTGAAGCTGCTTTCAAAGTCTACATGCAAAATGTCAGATCACTGACCGGATCGAAATTATTTTTTTAGCTCATTAGCATTTCTTAAACCACGTTACCTTGACCAAAATGTATTAGGTTGAGTCATAAGTCCAGACTTCTGGAGATCATAACTCGGAAAGAAGATGACGAAAATGGACGCGCGTGGCGTCGTTAGATAGAGTATGAAAAGCTTTTCAAATTACATAAAAGCAAGCACACCTGACTGCTTCCTTTCCTGCAACCATGCTCCATGATTTCAAGCCGTCGCAACTCCACCTCTGCAACACCAACCTATTTCTTTTTTATCTGGCCAATAACCCGCGGAGAACTATAGAGGTATGAAGGAAGTTTACAGTTGCTCCTGCTAGATGCACAATTTACAAGTGGCACTCGAAGTTCACGTCGGACGACTACTCCATCGAAGATGAACACCGTCCGGGCCTCTCAATGGAGTTGGATTTGGACGTGCTGCGGAGCCACTTGGAAGCCGATCCGTATCAAACAACTCGTGAACTGGCAGTCACACTTGGGGAGTCAGCCCACAGTTATTCGTGGATTGAAATCAGTCGGCAAGGTACGAAAGCTCGGTCGACGGGTGCCTCATGCTGCGAAGCAACATGACATGGACTGCCGCGCCAACATGGCACTTTCTCTCTTCACGCTCAAGCGCAGGAAACGGTCAGATGTATTCGTTGGCATGTATTTGGGATAGCTCTCTATACTCTATCTACCGATGCCTCGCGCGTCCAATTTTCATCACCTCTTTCTTGAATTATGATCTCTAGAAGTCATCACTATCATATTGTCCGAGGACTTATGACTCAACCTAATAAATGCAGGAACAACAAAGTCTTATAAGATGATAAAGGGAGGAAAGTTCAGGCGCGGTTTGGTCTGATCATGAGCCTTCAAGACGATTGCAACAGTAATGTGTGAAATTTAAATTATTATTGACAGCTTGCACATTACAAGTCAAGCAAAGAATGACAACTAAACGATGGAAGCCCGATTCACTTACCACTGTGACGATTTGGGCAAACTCCGTCATGAGAAAGAGGTTCTGCAGGTTCTACTTTCGTCTCCGGATCGGTAACTATCAGTCCGGCTACACATTTCGACTCCAAAATTTCTTGTACGACGAATCTAAAGCAAAACGAAGTCAGCATTTGATTTCGTTCTTGGGGATTTCTTGGATTATAGCCCCTTGCAACCTCTTAATCACTTAACAAACTATAACGTTGCGAACAGTTTTGTCTTCAAGTAGCTTTGTCGCACTCGCACTCTACTTGCTTGTACGCATGCAGTTTAACGAATATGGTATCAGATGGTTCGGGCTGACATCATTTTGTGAGTACCACAACACGTTTTATGAAGCACCTATTCACTACTCCTTCAATACAACAGCTGATTTGAGTACTATGAACTTTAAGAACTACATATTAGAGTAATTTAAGTACTACTACACGTACAGCCGTTGACAACCAAGAACTATAATAAAGAGTCTGCTATCAAAAAAAATCAACAGCATACCGGTCTATCATGTCGGTAGTCAGCAAAATGTGGTACTTCCCGAGATAGTCTCGAAATCGGCTCCGCCAGCAATCGCGCAATCCTGCTCTATCTCCCCGTTCCATTTTCACTATGACGCCACGGGAATCAGCCTTTGAGCCTGTAAGAGAAGCCATTAAATTCATTCAAAAGCGACTTTTGGAATCTGGAGATGGCAACTAACTATGAAAACCAAATTGATGAGTTCCATTAAACAAGCGATATCCAGCTATTCCTTCAGTTACTGGGATTGTTATGTAGATGTCCTCAGATAAGCCTTCCCCTCCACATTCTGTGAAAGCTGTAACAAAGTAATTGAAGAACGACTTCAAAGATTGGTTGAAAAATATCATATGCTCGAATTTGCC